CCCCAAAACCCCAAAACCCCAAAACCCCAAAACCCCTGTCTGGAATATAATCTTTGAAATTTAAAAAAATTTCGAAAAAATATAAGAAAATGAATTGGGAAGCAAATGAGCGTAGTGTAGACCCTTCAAAATATACTACGGTAATATATTCTGATATGGAAAAGTATAATCAGTATTCTCCACTTCTCCAGGATTATTACTACGCAATCGGCTCAGAGCCAAACACCCAGACCAATGTTCTTCATAAGAATGAAATTCGCATCGATCCTCGTATTGGAACGCAGAACATTCAAGATGTCGACTCATCTTCGTTTGTGTATAAATTCATCAATCCTGAAGTCCAAGTCAAATTCCGTGACGATGACATCTTGCCTGCAAGTGTTGTCCAAGATAGGATGGCCAGACTGCAACACACAGATGGTCTTGCTGACTCGCTCTCAAGTTCACAGTACTTCACCCAAGCAAGTTCATCATCAGACTGTGAGGGTCAGTGCTTGAACGGTGGAATCTGTTTCAAAGGTGACTGCATCTGTGCCAAAGGCTACTTCGGTCAGTACTGTCAGGAGCTGACAGCCCATCCTGGAGAGTACCACGCTAAAGACGCAGTCGAGCAAGATCCGTTCGGAGACTCAGAACAGAAGCGCAACCGCAAAGACAACGGGATCAACTACCTGGAGCACACTCCGGAGGCGGAAGTGCCTGCAGACTTCTACTTGACGGAGGCGGAGAAGCAGCAGCTTAACAGCGGCGGCAGTGGCAACAACCAAGGATTTGGTAAGTTTGGAGTTAACAGCTAGTCTATCCTGAAGACGACAATGCAGATGGCTCCAATGGGAGTAGTGGTAGTGGAGCTGGCAATGGCAGTAGTGGAAGTGGTCATGGTAGTGGAAGCAGTAGTGGAAACGGAAGTGGAAGCAGTAGTGGAAGCGGAAACGGTAACTCTAGAGGAAGCAGAAATGGTAGTGGCTCAGGATCTGGAAGCGGTTCAGGTTCAGGAGGCGGAAGTACAAGTGGAACAAGCGGAAGTGGATCTGGTGGAAGTAGAAGTGGGCATAAAGGACATGGTGGAGGTGCAGGACCAGGAAATGATCAAGGCCTTAAAGGAAGCAGCAATGGTGCGAATGGCAACCATCAAACTCTTAAGGGTACTAACAATGGCTCAGACCCTTCATCTGCAGGAAGCGATGCGTCCAGCAAGTCAAGCTGGGGAAAGTTCTTCTGGTGGTATTTCTTACTACTGTTACTAGCTTTATTGATAGCTGCCTTATTATGAGCGCTTCTCTGGTTTTTGGCAAAGCCTCTAGTGAACAAGATACTTGGTAAAGGTAAGAATGAGATTAACTTATAGCAGATGATGATGAAAAAGACTCTAAAAAATCAAAAGACAAATCCAAACCAAGAAGACTCGGTACACGTGAAAGTATGAACGACAGAAGATCCAAAAGTGGCAACAAAGACACTAGATAAAACTCACCATATTGCCTCTAATTTCAGCATTCTTAACTCCCGTAGGGGTTTTGGGGTTTTGGGGTTTTGGGGTTTTGGGGTTTTGGGGTTTTGGGG